GTGTTTGAAACATCTGAGGATAAATATTTTCTTCTTGGATGTTGGGTTCAAACAGTAATGATTTTGATATAAACTGAAAAGTGTCTTTAGTAATAGAAATTATTTTCATTAGACTCTTTCTGATCTAAATCTGGACTTTTTATCTGAGGCTGGGTTTTATTTTGATCTTTTCCCATTAAAATGACATCAAGAAATACTGATTCACTTAAAGTGTTGCGGTTTTTTCTGACATCTAAGGTTTATATTTATCATACACTGCCTGACCAAAAAAAAAAAGTCACCACCATAAAAAGGTCACACTAATATTTGTTGAACCACCTTTAGCTTTGATTACAGCACACATTCTCTGTGGCGTAGTTTGGATAATCTTCTGCAATGTGACCAGATTTAATTACATCCAGTGTTGCATTTTTCCACCAAGCTCTTTCATTGATGATGGTAGAGTCTGACCTTCTCCAGCACATCCTAAAGATTCCCTGTGGAGCTGATCCATGTGTGAAAATGATGTCTCRTGCTCCCTGAACCACTCTTTCACAATAAGAGCCCCATGAATCCTGGCATTGTCCTCTGGGAATATGKCCGTGCCATCAGGGAAGAAACAATCATTGATGGAATAACCTGGTCATTCAGTATATTCAGGTAGTCAGCTGACCTCATTCTTTGAGTGCAGACTGTTGCTGAACCTAGACCTGACCACCTGCAGCGACCCCACATCCTAGTTAGATCCAGGTGGACATGKTTTTTTGGCTGGACAGTGTGTATAATAATATACCAGATAAATAAAAAGTTAAATTGTAAACATCATCTGCAGTCCTCATAGTGTAAAACATGAGGAGGTGTCATATTGCAGGTGGATGTGATGAATATTTCCATGTTTAAATGACACCACATATTCCTGCAGCACAGTTTCACAACATGTTTAGGTTTATTTATTTTTCTTTGTAGATTGAAGAAGAAAAGTCCACATTAACCCACAGCTCATTATTTTTTTGTAGCACAGGAAGAGTTTCCTCATCGTGAGCACAGAGGCTTTATTTGAGTCTAGTTTGAATGCCCTTCTACCTAACTTTTAACAGCATGTGACTCCTGCTTGTTTGCTGTCTTTGTGGAGTACACTCACACAGTAAAAACATCATCTTCTGAGGTTTTTCAACCTGTGCTATGATGCTTTTCTTTTGATTGTGAACGACTCTGGTAAAATGCAGCTTGGTTATGAACTAACAGTGGATGATGTGGCTTGGATAACATGTGGGACTTGACCTTGTGTCAGAACAGCTTTGACCTCTCTGTGCTGCTGTTAGTGGGATGGGACTGACTGGAAAGGCTGATGTATTTTGGTTTTGATCTCCTTTTGGGATTTGCTTGCTTTTGCCAACAGATTGACACCTTGGTTGTGGTGCCATATTTTCTGAACGTTCAGCATGTGTTTTTCTTTTTGTTTGTTTCTTTGGTTTTGCCTGTGCATAAATGACCCTTATGGGATGGCAGGAGTTCACAGAGGGATAGGGCTTGTCCTGAACTAGCAGCAGGGTTTCAGAGCACCATGTTGAGGTGTAGTGTGTGGATGGAGTTGGAGCTTTGGCTGTTGGGTTCACAAGCTTCTTGGACTAACTCGAGAGYTGATGTGCCTGCGGGCATCATGTGTCTCCTCTGCTGCAGGTTTTGAAGGCTGCTCCATGGTGCCGTCCATCTATCCTCTGGAAACGCTGCACAACTCCCTGTCACTGAAACAGGTCAACGAGTTCCTTACCAGTGTGTGCGAGAGTGCTGGAGAACAACACACTAGAACCTCCAGAGGTAAGAAACAAACACAGATCTAACGTTTGCTTCTTTATAGAAGACGGAGTTGTCTTCAAATTGTTCAGCTTTATTTTTGTTTCTTCCTGGCTAAAGCTCTGTCAGCCATGTTTGGCTCACACAACCAGCAGTCAGTCGACTCCTACATCCCACAGAGAGTCCTGTCCACTTCCATCTCCCTCAGATCTCGTTCTGACAGACCTCCATGGTGTAAGTGTCACAACATACTAGTTCACAAGAAAGTTTAGCATCTCTAGGCTGAAGCTCCTCTGCAGTCAGATATTATGAATAGGACTGTTACAAATGATTATTTTATGTTGATGCATCTGCAAACTAATTCGCTGATTATTTGATTAAACTAAAGGACTTATCTAAAAAGAGTTGAGTAGGTCCTCTAGACGCGTTCTTTTATGTTGAAAACATTTCGTATCTTCTCCAAGAGACTTCTTCAATCTGAGGAAATGCAGGTAAGCCCAGCCTTATAAGCTGTACTTCCACATAGTGGATCAACAAGTTTGACAGGACTTCAGCCAGCCATCAGGTGAAAAGGACCCCAMACCCAGACCCAGACCCGACAGATCAGTCGTCATTCCGTAAGTTGCGGGATTGTCAGAGAAGCTGAGGCGTTTATTCTCTAAACATGACACCCCCCCCCCACCACCACCACGCACACACACACGCATCAGAGCCTGCAGGACGATAAAATCAATAAAAAT